AAATGAAATAATTGTGTACAATTCTTTCACCCCGTAGTATAGCTTTGTTAAAAGATTGAAACGATTAACGGTTAGGTTCTTTGGTCCAGAAAAGGCATTATTATTGATTAAACGACATGTTGATTGATAGTAAAACGTATTATGTAGAATAGTTTAAGGCAGGGTTGGCAATTGGCTATTTGGCCAGAATTGGCCATGGCTATTTGGCTGGCCAAATACTGGCCAAATGGCCAAGAAAAATTTTTGGCCATGGCCAAATTTATAACCAATCAAAATTTAATTAATATAATTAATTAATATTTAATTAATAAAACAAAAAATATTTAATTAATACAACAAAAAATTATTAATTAATACAACAAAAAATTATTAATTATCTTTATGATCAAATAAAAATTCTAAATTATCAACAAAAATATTACTTATTTGCCATTTAGCATTATTATCTAAAGCAGGATGTGTTTGATTTAGTAAAAAATCATTAATTTCAACTTCAGATTCATAATCTAAATCAATTATAGCTTCATGTTCTGCTTCTTCTTCTTGTCTTAATAGTTGGTTCCATTCATTAATTAAATTATTAAAATTATTAATTAATGATTCATTATTTTCTTCTTCTAATATATTATCCATATTATTATTATTAATTTCTTGATTATTATCCATATTATTATTATTAATTTCTTGATTATTATTTTCTTCTATAATCAAATCTGTATCTTCAATGAAAACTATTGGTCTGACATTATTTTCTTTTAATTTTTGTTGATATAAAAATTGAATTTCATCAACTTTATGTTGAAAAGTAATTGCTGCACGTAATTTGCTCATATTAAGTGCTTTGCGATACTATTATAAAAAATATATATGTAATTATATAAAATTATAAAATCAAATAAATAATTTATTTTAATTACTTACATCTAAACGATTACAATTTTGAGTATGAAGAAAACTCATACATGACCAAAGTCGTTCAACAGATGCTGCATTAATACAAATTCCAAATATTCGTTGTGCAACATATCCAAGTTCTTTTGCAATTGATAAAATCCATGTTCAAAATTCCAAAATATCTTCTTCAAATTGATTAATTGATTGTATATCAAATGGATAATGTCCTTTTCTAAAACTCTCATATTCACGTAATATTGATTGAGATTTTTCTTTTGTCCAAGCTTCATAATAATAAATTAACCATTTACTAAGATAGACATGATTTAAGTTTAAAATATTAGTTTTGAATTTCGTTATTTGATATTTTGGATGTAAAAGCCATGATAAAAGTAAAAGTGGTTATTCCCAATTTTGCCATCTTGTTTGAAGTCGATTAAGTATTTTTTGTTCAAGATCAGAATCTTCATAATTTTTCCAAAATTGTACGAGTTGTTCAAATTCATGTAATACTTTATATAATCATGTTTTATCACATTGTAAAATATTTAAAATAATACAATATGGTTTGAGTACTTTTTCAAGTTTTGAAAGTAATTGCCACCAGGTTTCATCAAGTAAAATAGAAGCTATATCAACAGGAAGATAGAGTAGTTCATTTGGATGACGATAAGAAGATGTATCATAAGGTGATTCAAATTTTGAACCTAAAGTCTAAAAAAAATTTTTTATTAATATAATTTTTAATAATATTAAAATAAAAAATATATTTACCCGTAATGCTCCTTTTGATTTAATTAAAGTACGAAAACATTCATAATGACTATTCCATCTTGTATCATTACCAATAGCAATTTGAATATATTTTTTATAGGTCTCTTTTTGTAAAGTTCGTAATTGTCCAATAAAGTATTTGTTGTTGGATGACTTAAAATAAAGAGCTATTTTTATTGCTTTTATAGATGCTTGTTTAAATTCTTCAGATTCCTTAAAAATTTCGCCAATACAAAGATTTATTTGATGTGCAAAACATGGAAGAAAAGTAATATGTATATATTTAAGTCGAAGTCGACGTCTAAAAAATAAAAATATTATAAAAAACTAAAAATAAAATAAAATATAAAATATATTTAAATATATACCTTGCAGCAGCATAACTTGGAGCATTATCAGATACTATAGTGATAAGATCAACTTTCATTTCATTAATTTCTTTAATCATTACTTCAATTTTTTCAACAACTTCTTTCCATTGTTCAAATTCATTACTTATATCCAATCCTTTCTATACTAATACTTTACCTTCTGATATAATAAATACAGAGCCAAGAATATTTTGATTTATTACATTAGTCCAACCATCAAATGTTAATGTGACACCGACAGAATCATTCTGAAGTTTTTGTTTCATTTCAACTTGAAGAGCTTTAGATTCATCATTTAAAATTTGTCCTCCTAGAACTCGACGATCTGGTAATTTCAAAGTTGGATTTATAAAACTAAAAAGCTCTTTGACTTCCTTATTATCCACCCATTGTAAAGCCCAACCCGCAGAAACTGTTGCATGAATTAATAATTTTTCAAATGTATATTTATCATTTTTGGAAAGTGGTCGAGCAATAAAAGAATCAAGTGTACTGATAGACTTATTAGTTGAATGACCTATATATAAAAAAAAATTTAATATAAATAAATTTAAAAAAATTATAAAAAAAATTCATACTCATCCAAGATCTTGAACTATAAGTAGAACTAGAACTGGATTCAATACGTGATCTTTTTGAATTTAATGCAGACTCTTTAATAGATCCAAAGAATTTTTCAAATATATCAGGATGCTTTTCTTTAAAATGTATACATTTCTTCAAGTGATTTCGAACTCTATCACTTTTATTTGGGAATTTTTGAAGTAGAGCTGCAGGACAACTGATAATATTTCTACAAGAAATACAAATACAAAAATTTCGCCACTGGTCAGCTTTCTCGGATAAAATTTCAATATAACTTGTGTATTTGTGTGGCATTTTGAAAATATTTTATCCCTCTATGAGATGTATCTATAAAATTTGTTGTACTGGTCTGGTACTGGTATATGTATGCAATTAACTCTCAATATAACGATAACGATAATGATATATGCAGTTGGAAATTATTGGATTTGCAGATTACTTTTTTGTTACTTAGTGTTGGATGCCAAAAAGGATAAATAATACAAAAGATGGTTATACAAAATGGTAGTTTTGATATCGAAGTTTTTTAGTAAAAATCTTTTTTAGATTGCTAATTGTATCTTAAAGAGAAACTTAACTTTAAATATTATCTTTGGAGTCCGTCAATATTTGCGGAATGCTGAAAATTTAAAAAATTGATTATTTTTGTTTAAACAATTTCTAAAAAGAAAAAATGTTAATTATCACAATAAAGAATATCAATATGATGACTTATCTGTTGTCGTTCATATTTCTTTAATGGTGAGATATTTGTATCTTGTCAATTTTTTTCTGTGTTCTGTTTCATAGGTGAGCCACTCGCTAAATGCAATTTACTTCTTCAAAATTAGATTCAAACTCTAACGTGTGACATTAGTATGACATAACTAAAAAAACCAGATAGTGATAGTGACAGATCATACAAACAAATGGTTAATGCATCACTTGAAAGATAAGTTTTGCGATGCAATAACTTCTCGTACACAACATTAAACAATATATAACTAGACTTATTTTAGTCACCAAATATAAAAGAACTCTTATATTTTTCATTTATAATTTAAAAAAATAAAAATAATTCATTTTTATATCAAATAGTAATCCGTTTTTTTTGAGCTTTTTACAAAGATTCAAATTAAAATTTCTAATCAATTAGCAAATAAAAATTCGCCAAATTTTAACTAAATATGTATTCTTTACCAACTCCTGTATCTACCCTTTACATTGATCACATCTTGGATACGGTCCTCCATACTTTCAATTAAACTTATTAAAAATGCATTATCTGACTTTTTGTATTCCAGAGCAACGGTCTATTTTGTTCCAGAGATGCTCGATTAGTGATTGAGCAGGCTGATCAAGTATAATTGTCATCAAACCATTCATATGTAAAGTTTGCTGTATGGCTCACTTATGAAACGGAACACTGAAAAAAAATTGGCAAGATATGAATATCTCGCCATTGAAGAAATATGAACGACAACAGATAAGTTGTATATATTCTTTATTGTTATAATTATCGATATTAATGTTTTTTCTTTTAGAAATCGTCTAAACAAAAAATAATCGATTTTTTAAATTTTTTTAGCATTCCGCAAATATTGACGGATTTCAAAAACAATATTTAAAGATACAATTAGCAATCTAAAAAAAGATTTTTAATTACAAACTTCGATGCCAAAACTACCATTTTGTATAACCGCCTTTTGCTTGTATCATGTCATTTACCCTTTTTGGCATCGAAGTAATTAATCATTCACAAAAAGCTGCTTCGATATCATTCCACGTGATCTGGAGCTTCTCCACAGTTGAAAGTGATACAGGAAGTTGCCGTAATCGCCAGTCAACTTCATTTTATAGGTTTTCGATGGGATTAGGGTCAGGATATTGAGCCAGCCAATGAAGCAAATTAATCACATTTTCCAGGAATCACTCTTGGCTTTTACCGACATATGTTTGGACCATTATCTTGCTGATAAAAGATTTCTTCTTTATCCAGAATTTTTGCCGACAGTGTTCCTAATAGATTCTCATTCAATATATTAACGTAAACGTCAGCATTCATTTTTATATCAATTTTTTTAAGTTGCCCCACACCATCGACATTCATATAACCCAAATCATTATTGCACCACCACCAAACTTCATGGCATGGTAGGGGTGATATATGGCAGTCATTTAATTGTTCACCATCTCTCGCCCAGCAATACTTATGCTCGTCTGATTCAAAAAGCTGAAATTTACTTTTGTCAGACCAAAGAACCAACCGCCAATCTTTGACCGTTAAATCTCAGTATTTTTTTGCCCAAACGAGTCAGCGTTTTCAGTGTATCTTTGTAAGCAGAGGTTTTTTCGCTTGGATTTAGAGGACAAACTGTTTTTTCGAAATATACGCCGTACGCTCTTTACAGAAATATCAATCCCGAGATCTGATTTAAGCTTATTTTTGACCTCCACAGTAGTAGAGAGCACTGCTCAGTCATCAATAAACGGATGGCATATCTCTCATAGCGGACTTCTAGAAGGTGTGAATGACCAATTTTTTCTAGGTTATCAAAATTCCCGGTTTCCTTTTTCTTTTTACAAATTCGTAGGACCGAAGCAAGGCTATCTGCTCTGAAGCAGCAATTTCCCATATCGAGTAACCTTCTTCTCGTAATGTGAATATTCGGTAGCGTTTTTGCGAAATTCAAACGTTGAATCCGATGTGTTTTCTTAAGATATGGTTTCTTTCGCTTAATTAGTGAAGAAAGACCATTAGTTGGCTTTATTGTGCTTGCACTGATATCGATTTTATCTTCAAATTTTAGTTTTTTTTTTGGATGGGAACAATTACCATTCGAAATTAGACATTCGTCGTGACCAGTAAAAATTCTAGGACGACCTGGTTTTGGTAAATCTTTAAAGGTATCATGACACATCCCCATCGAAAAAAGATCCCAAATTTATACCCTTCTTCAAGAAGGATATTCCTCTCGTTTTATTACAAACCGTGAAAATATTTCCCAATTCACCGTCATAAGAATAAATGATACTCATAATAATTTGAATGATATGGGATAAAAGAGTATATTCTTAGGTGTATTTTATATACATGTATAGGATGTGTGTATTGTTTTGTGTTCTTATATACTTTATTTTCAAGGGAAGAAATGCTTCGCTGGTTTAACGTAAATAAAAACCAAATACATTTATTTACATGAGCGGTTTAATCTTTTAACTATATATGTGCTGGATTTCATATGTCTGTAACGTTTATACTACTTTGAGTGTCACTGTATGCACAAACGAATAGGATTTTCAACATGTCTAGATTTTGGCCGTGGCCAAATGCCAATAGAATTTTGGCTGCTGATGGCCAAATTATGGCCAATGGCCAAAAAAATTCTTGGCCATAGCCAAATGCCAACCCTGGTTTAAGGCTTTTGTCTAGAAAAAGCAATTGTTATTATTAAATACTGTTAACTGTTAATAGAAGTAACCCGTCACTTAAAATTAAAGAAAACCGACTCTCCCAAATTCTCTTAATCTAAACACAAATCCTCGTAAAGCCCCTCTAATATTACTAAACCTGACGATATCCGTAGATATCGCACAGGGATTAGATAACGAACGAGTACAAATCAGTCTATACACTCTCTCCCCCTCAATTGTTGTAGGTAAAATCATTAATTACGAACCCACGCAACAGTATTAATTTATAGGGAGAGGAACCGACATAGTGCACAATTCAAAGTAAACTACATCTGACTTTATAAACAAGGTAAAATGAGCACCTTTTAAAGTGTAGACATTGTTATCACTATTTACAATAGAATAAATTATTATAGAATAACTAAAAACCCAACTACGAATGGATGCTCGATAGTGATTTATGGCACCACGTACGTATCAGGTGTGATGCTGCCCCTCATTGTTTACATGTTGCAGTCACTTTTTGTGACATAATAGGAATTACGAGCCCCAACCTCAACCTTATAGAGAATCTTTGGCAAGAAATTAAAGTAATTGTCCGCCAACGTACCCCTCCACCATCCAATCTTGCAGAACTCAAACGGTATGTGAAGTAAGCCTGGCAAAATATTCCGCCCAATAACTATCAAAGGTTGGTTGAAAGTATGGCTGAAGCATGTTTTATAGCAAATGGAGGCATAGCTAATTATTAGTCACTTAAAAAATTTTGTATGTCAATAGTAGAAAAAATAAAGTTTATAACACACCATTATCAGGTCTTTGTGTAGGATGTTCATTTAAAGCTGAAATAAGAGTGTCGAATTGATATGCACACGCTCTTTTAATGATAACATTAATGCAAATATTGACTTCCACACACATAATTATCATTAGTATTGTTCCGAAAGTAACTAAACACAAAAAAATATAAGTAGCTTATAAGACATGAATAAACTTTATAATTTTAATTTTAGACAGTTAGGTCCTTAATTTTTTTTATTTTACATTTCAATGTTTTAAATTAAAACTACATATAATCATTTTATAAAGTGAACTCAATATGGACTCACAATAATTATGATTATAGTAAATGTACTAATTGTCAAAAAAAATAAGTACTTTCATGTATGTTTTAACGAATTTATAAAGCTGAATGGTTTATTGCAACAAAGCTATCGAAAGTCTAATAAATGAACGCGCAAAAATTAGAGAATCTTTGAATGGATCCCTTTAAAAGATTAATCAATTCGAATGATATGGAAAACTCGAAGTTGTATTAAATCCATTACGTGATTCAAGGCAAATAACATTAGTGTTTGCTTTTTTGTTTTCTAATAGAATTAAGTTTTTTCAAAAGTAGATGCAGACTTAACGTTAATATTGAATGGCCGGTTTTGGGAGTCCGTTAAAGCCTGCCTGGTATATCATGTGGCGTTGTTATTAATTTACTAGAAATTTCGTTAGATAAAGTTAGGGTTAAGGTTCGAGTATCTGACAAGTATATAAAATTTGCGCTGAGCATTTTTACTTACATAGTATCTAAACAAAATTACAGACCTTTTTCTAATAAATATATTTAGACTAATTTCAGTTGATATAATATATCAATATGTATTTCTGTATATATTTATATCAAATAATTACGTATACAGATACGTACCGGTATCTCTCGCTATGGTTAATTTGACCTTCTATCATTTTACATGTACGTACAGTCGCCTCGGAAAGTAACGTCCGATTTGGATGTGCAACATCAACATAAATTTAAACGAGGCGTTTTCCCCCTTTTTGTTATTGTTGACTGCAAATTTTTTTTATTTCTTTCTTCGACCTTTAAACATACGCTGGACGAAATTTGTTGGCTGTAAATAAAACACAACGCCTCCAGTTTACCGACTTTAACGAGGATAAAATGGTAAATTTTATTGGGATTTGAGTGCCGTGCAAGTTGCAAGAAAAATGTGCCGTGACCCGATGATGGGATAATGGTCTCTTGCCGAATACAAGAGAAATAGGAAAAAAGAAAATTTACCAGGATCACAAGCTAGTAAAAAATTGCACATTTCCAAGAAGTTAAAAAATAACAACCTAAGCCATTTCGTGACATTATCAACAAAAATCTTTGTAAAAATTTACCCAAGAATCATTAAGGTGGTTTCTTCCTTTTTTATAAGATATTATGCTCATTAATTTGAAAAAATATGGCTTTTCAGCTTAACCCTAACCCTAATTCTAAAAAGATCACGAAATAGGTTCAAGAGAAGAATATTAATGATTATGAACCAATTAGCGTATTCTCACAGACCTAGCTTCATAGAAAACATATAGAAACCATTGTAGAACAATATTCTAAAGTGTAAAAGCTTTTCAAAAACTAGGAATAAGCTCAAGACTGCTCTGAAAGAAGTGTAGTCAAAATTTAATGTGTTAGTTTGGGGGGAAGGCTGTGAGCTCGATGCTGTAAGGAATCGAGGTAATATTGAAGCCATATAGAGGGTGAGTAATGTATTAGTTAATGGTAAAAAATTTTATGTATATAAATAAAATAAAACGAATATATATCTAAAATTTTATTTTTTAAAAAAATCGGGAGTTACTTTCCGAGGCGACTGTACATGTACATGTATAAGAAAATCGATCATTAAACAATAATTTTATTCTCGTTATGAAAAACACTGTTAATAGATTTAAGAGAAGTCATAATATTTACAAAAATAGATATGAATGGATTTCAATACCAAGAAGTATTACTAACTACTTTTTTGATAGAAGCACCACATTTTAATCCATCATGAGCTAAATCTCAAGCCACCTAACAAAGCTCATCAATAATTGTTCTATATACATGTACAGTACTGTATTTTTGATCTTTTATCGATCGACAGAACACGCACATAGACAATAGAAACTCAGAGAATTTCGAAATGACTAACTCTCGCAATTCTGCAACTTACTTGACTAGCAGTATTAATAAAAATGGTGCGCTTAGAGATATAGTTTGTAGTGGTTCAAAGCTTTTATTCATAGATACATAGGATTTTAGTCCATCTCGAGTTAAAATAAAATATGCGACAAAAGTCAAAAAAACACTTATAGTATCACGATTTAAGTCCTGTTTTTTTGTTTCTTATTAACATTCTTTTAGTGTTGGTTCAAGTATTTTCTACTCATCGTTATTAATTTTTTGTTATTTTTGCAGTTTCTTTATTGTTATCATAGTTTCTAATTTACGACCACACCCATACATGTTGCATGGATTATACACTTAATGGGAATTCTGACAGTTTAGAATACAACGATCCGGATAAAGACTACGAACTTCTTGATGATGATGATGATGACGTCCAGTGAGCCGATTTGAACAAAAATGCCATTTTTAGATATAGTTTTGCAATACAAGATGAGAAAAAAATATAATGCAGTTATCCCTCTTTATAAGAACGTGGTTGGTCTAGTTCTATCCTAATATTCTCAAAATTTCAAAAAATTTTGAGTGTTGGTTCACAAGATATCGCGTAAAATGAAAACGTTCTTGAATCTATATATGAAAATATCTAATATGTTTTCCATAATATCTCTTGTGAGCTAATGCGTAAAATGTGTAATTATCTAGAATAGTCTCACAAAAATTTTTTAATTGTAAGTGTTCCTCATGTTAAAGCTTAGCATTTTGACTAATTTTTTATTCAATATTAGTATTTCATATGATTTGATTTAAATAAAAATTAAAATAATATTTAATTAAATTGATACCATCAAATTAAATTAAATAATTTTTAATTAGATAATCACTTAATTACGTAGATGATATCACTTCATTATTTTCATCAGCGCATAATAAAATGAGTTATCATTGTATATTAACTATAAAAATTAAAATAGTATTTTAGACTACATGTGCTAATATATTATTAAAAAAATAGCTCAAAATCGAAATTATTAAGGTTAATTTACGATTTTATGGTTTTACAATTTACTAATCTTACTATCGCTATATAATTATTATTAATATAAAATAAACGTTTTACGCGAGAATTTGTGAAACAACGCTCAATATATTTTGAAAACTTGTAGTTATTTAGAAATGAAATAGAACAATCTTTTTTATTAAAATTATTTGGTACATTAAAATTTGTTATTATGGTCGATTTCTCATTCAAAGTTCATGAATGACCTTTAGATAATCATTTGCAACCAAAATCCCACAAAATTTGGCCATATAATAGAATTATATATGGTGAATAAGTGTAATTATTACGTCAATAGAGTTTTTATTAGTAAAAAATGGACTTTTCGTAGTTCAAAAATTTAATTTAATTTATTTTCGTTTCGAAACCCGCACCGTGCAATACAGGCATACCGTATGCCTGTATTAGATCTTGAATAAATGAAAGTGAAAATTATTGGTAAAAAGTAAATTTGAGCTATTACTAATAATTTTTGTTGATTTGTAAAGGGTGTGTTGAACAAGAAAGCAACTTTTTTTGCAACTTTAGATAAGTTTATAAGAGTTGAAAAATTAACATGTATTTTTTAATAATTTTCCCAAAAAATATCACATTCGGACTTTCATAAATGTAATTTTTATCGGAAAATTTGATTATGCCGACACCTAAAAATTATTGGTAAATTAAAGTAACGTTCAGATACTAATAGTGTCAACATGGGTAGCTAATTTTGTGTATAATAATTCAATACTGGGAGTTCTGCGCTTCAAATTCAATATCACTGTATTTCTTACATTACGTAATTTGATTAATACACTGTATGGATGTAGGATATAAGGAGACCTACACGAGTTTGATATTGTATCATACCCGGGTACATATATAAGAGGAAAGGTTTTGTTTGTTTAATACGTACCGGATACAAATAATTGGGGATTTATTTCAACAGGGTGTGTTTTTGCACTGCGAAATACGGCAAGTCATTTACTTTCATTCACACATTTTTTACTATAGTTTTTGCTAATCTGGCGACTGTAACTTTTGAATTGATTAAAAACAACCACCAATTATGTTGCATAAAATGCTAATTTGTATAATTGTCTAATCTGTTATTAATTCAGCTGCTTGATGAATAATTATTTTTTGATTTTAGATCGAGCTGAGACTGAGATATCTGACCGGAATATTATATGATACCATATTGATCGTGAAAATAAACCATAGTTTAAACATTTCTTTATGGTTTGTTCCTGTATCAGAATTATTACATAATATTTTTTTGTTTCGGAATAGTTGTTCGATTCAGACTATTTTCAGTTTATCAAGAGCGATGCGTCTTACCAGATTTTTACATGCTGCACAATTAACATTGCAGTCGTTATATATCAATATATACATGTATTAAGTACTGAAGCAACAGATTGGCTTAGCAATCTCATCTTTCATGTTATTCATAAATGCATCAGACGGCAATCCAGTTATCACACAACCGCGTTAATGCTAAAGATTATTGGTCTAAAGAACCGGAAAATGTTCTTCGCGAGCACGATTATTATAAATTGAAGCAATATAACCAACAACTCGCGAAGACCGTATTGACTTTGATAATAAGATAGTACATGTACATGTATATTGTGTTCCAGATGGGATAATTATGCAAGGGATGATAGAGAGATTATTGTAATCCATTAAAAAGCATAAATAATACAAATACGCCTTAGATGAATGTTTCTTTTTAAGTACAGTATATAATGTACGTACATGTGTATATAATACGCCGCCAATGTAATGCACACATATGTTCAGTACATGTAGTATATTTTTAGTTTTACTCGTTTCTTTATAAAAGTACACACTTTCTACTCTTTTTTTTTAAAACAAATCTACGAAAAAATGCATTTCAAATACTATTTTCTCATTATTTTCTCTCTGATTTCAATGGTCTCTTCTTTTCCGTTTAAAGCTGGTACGACCGTAGGGGACAGCTTCGAATGGGATGCTGGACTCGAAAACGGTCATATCTATAATATAGATGATGTCGATGGAACCAATATTGCGTTTGAAGGTGACACACCTGAACCGCTACCGATTTCTTTTTAAAAAAAAGATGTTCAGTGGATAACGAAACGATAAGAATAGTTCATCACATACGGTCAATTATTTTTCGAAATATATATTTTTGTTTGTCTGTTATTTTTGTACTTAACGAAAAATCGAAAAAATACAAAGTTTAATTTAGTAAACTCGTAATATTGTTCCCTCTTGTGTATTAGTAATTAAACAAAATGTAAAAGTAAAACTATTTAGAAAAGTTATTTACAAGTGTTACTTACATATTAACATTAACGGAAGTGAAAACTAGCGATTATTCTCTATTTTTTCTGATCGGTAATTTAGTCGTGGCCA